TCCTGACTCTGGATTCTAAACTTGAATCTTGACCCTGGATCCTGACCCTAGATTCTGACCTTGGATTCTGACCTTGGTAATAGAGAGAAGAGGAACCTGACATGGAAGATGCTGTAGAAAAGAACCAGTCAGGAGCTGAAGACAGACAGAATATAATCTCGACAAGCCGTTGTTCCACTAACTGTTCCCAGGGCGATTAAATCGTCTCCGGTTTTATAAAACTCTGCTGTCAGAGTTCAGGTAGATCCACCGAATGAAACTCATTGTGTCTCTGGATGCTCTGACCTCTTACAGGTGTGTCTGTAATCCTGGATTCCAGGGTGACGGGATCACCTGCGTGGAGTCAGATCCCTGCGCTCCTCCTCTCAGAGGAGGCTGCAGTATCAACGTAAGTTAAAAACATGTTTCCTAAACCCCACTGCCGTTCAGTCTCACAGAGTTTACTGCCCCCTGCAGGCTAAATGCATAAAGACAGGTCCTGGTACACACTTCTGTCAGTGTCTGACTGGATGGACAGAGGATGGAGATGAGTGTCAACCAATCAATAACTGCCGTGGTCCTGATAGCGGAGGCTGCCATGCCAACGCCACCTGCATCTATGTCGGACCTGGACAGGTACCATCCACATAAACTGATAAACAGGGTGTGGATGGATGGAAGCGTTGGTTTAAAGCAGAAATCAAGAAATGAAAAGTTGATTTTGTTTTTGTTTAGAGTGACTGCAGCTGCAAGGCCGGATACAAAGGAACAGGGTTTTTCTGTGAGCCTGTAAACCAGTGTGTGACAGTCAATGGAGGCTGTCACTACCTGGTGAGTTCTGCTCATGTTCTAATTCAGGCAGATTAATCTGTTCTTAGATTGATAAACAGGTCACAGTTCGTTCTGAATAAGAATCTGAGGACCAGCACTGTTTTTGGTTCCTGGTGTTCTGTCTTTAGGCCAGCTGCCGACTTCTGTCCTCTGGGTGGACGTGTGTCTGTGATGATGGATATATTGGAAATGGGCACGTGTGTTTTGGTACCATTGAACAGGTGAGGCAAACACATTTTTATTCAGGTTCCTGACATCTTTATATCCAGTCTGAGTTTGTTTTCCTGATGGTTTCAGGAGCTGATGACTCTACCCAATGCCTCACACTTCTTTTCCTGGACCACGGTGAGTTTCTGGCATTTATGACTTGTTAATGACCTGTTTCCCCCAGCCTCTAAGGTAGGAACCAATGAACCCAACTTAAGGAACCACAGACAGAATGGTTCATTGTTCTTGGCTGAACGTACCATTGATAAAGACATAAAGCCTTGTTCTCATTGCTTTAAGCTGAACGTACCATTGATGAAGTTGTCCATCTTGGTTCTCTTTGTTCTTGGCTGAGTGTATCATTGATGAAAACAGATCCTGGCTGTCTTTGTACTTGACTGAAGGTACCATTGAGGAAGACATACATTCTGGTTCTCAATATAATTGGCTTTGTTAATGTACCATTAACAAAAACAGATCCGGGTTTTCTTTGTTTTTGGCTGAAGCTTCTGTTCATGAAGTCATAGCTGCTGGTTCAAAGCTCCATCCACAAGCTTCACAGACCTTCCTGCCATCTAGATCTGTCTTCTGTTGGAAATGTTCAGAGCTTCAAGAGAAGGAGTATCAGACCATCTGTGGTAGGCCCACATGGTGATGATTCCTGTAGCCATTTGGGGTTTGGTCTGATTAAATTTTAGGAGCCAAGGCTGGACCACCAGACAGCTGGGAGAACGTCCTGTCTGATTTTTACCTGTTTTACTGTGTCTTTTAACAGGAGTCCGGTTTGTCTGGCTTACTGTCAGATCATAACATCACCCTCCTGGTTCCAACATCCGCTGCTGTTACTAAAATGTCCCCAGAGGACAGAACCTTTTGGACGTTGAAGGGGAACTTACCGAGCCTTATCAGGTTGCTCGTCTGAAGTCAGATTTGAAGGTTTATTAAAATAAACTCTTACAGCAGCTTTTTACTCTGTCTCACAGAAACCACATCATCTCTGGAAGCTACCCTCTGTCCGAGCTGAGAGACATGTCCTCTGTCGTGTCCCTGCTGCCAACAACACTTCCAGTTTCCTCCAGGGACCAGGTCAGAGGTCCAGATGAAGCCATCAATAATAATATAGCCATAATAATAATAAAGCTTATTCTGATTCTGATAAATAATAAAAAACATCTGTTGTGGTTCTGTTTTGATTTGAAACTGTCCAACAACTTTTGTTCTGTCAGGTGACATTTGTTGGTGGATCAAATATCATTACCTCAGATGTAGCTGCAACCAACGGGCTGATCCACCTCATAGATCAGGTACCAGACCTGAGCAGAACTTTCTGTCTCACCCTAGATGTCCCATTTGCCCTCAGCTTTTTGTTCCTGTCTCCAGGTGCTGATACCTGACAGGAAGCAGAGTGAAGGTCTACTGGCAACGCTCACTCTCTGGCCTGAGTTCTCGCTCTTCAGATCCTACCTGATCGTACGAACACACACGCACGCACGCACGCACGCACGCACACAAACTGCTTCTGATTGATGTTTTGTTTCTTCAGGGCTACAATCTGACTGATGACATCGACCTCGTTGATGGGTTCACCGTCTTCGCTCCAACTAACGGTGCTATCAACACGTACCTTCAGGAGACGGCCTCCACCTCTTTGGTACCAAATAAAACCCAGAGAACTGAAGGGAGGGTTTCTGAAGAAGAACCAAAAACAGGAAGCTGTTTTAGTTTCCATACAACATCCTGAGCATGAGGTTCTTCTTGTGTCCATCTACAAGGTTCTGAGGTTCTTCTTGTGTCCATCTACAAGGTTCTGAGGTTCTTCTTGTGTCCATCTACAAGGTTCTGAGGTTCTTCTTGTGTCCATCTACAAGGTTCTGAGGTTCTTCTTGTGTCCATCTACAAGGTTCTAGCAGAGCAGCTCTTCTTGGTAGAACTGGTGGAGTTTGGTCAAACTGTTTGTTTTCAGGAAGTGGACCTGGTTTTTGTTGAGAGTCCACAGATTTTCAGTTGGGTTGAGGTCTGAAATTTGGAAAGACTGGTTCTGATGTGTGTTTGGGGTCACGGTCCTGTTGGATCCAACTGTCCACCTTTCAACCACCTAGCTGCTGGTTTGAGGTGAAGTTGAAGAGTTTGGAGATAGACCTGTTCATTTTGGACCACACCATGGTGCTCCCACCATCATGCTTGGCAACTGGTTCAGTTTCTCAGGTCTGATGGCCTCACCTCGACTTCTCCAAATATCTCTCTTGTCTTCATGTCCAAACAGCTCAGTTTTTGTCTCATTTGACCACCACACTGTGCTCCAAAAGACATTTGTTTTGTCCCTGTGGACAGCTGTTGGTTCCAGTCCATTCTGTAGGTTCTTGGTCCTCTTATTCTGGGATGATGATGTAGGGCTGTCTTCACTGTAGACAGGGACACTGGGGACAGGGACACGGGGGAACAGGGACACTGGGGTTCTAGTAGGTTCCAGTTCATAGCAGGCTGAAGCCTTTGTGGTTCCTGGGTTGTTCTTGAATGTTTGGACCAGTTTCCTTTCATCTTGTGGAGGACAGACAAGTTTTGGTCCAATTACAGGAAAAAAGTCCCAACTGCAGTCAATCCTGATCACTTACAGGAAGTTGACAGGCCCTGTCAAATTAAAAGATGCTTTTGAACAGATTTAGGTGGCTGCATGTATATATTTGAGCCTGTATGAGTAATGCAGAGATGAACCAGAATCATTTCATGGTTGTTTTTAAAAGTTGTACATAGTGGAACCATTCCACCCATTAGTCTGACCTTCATGTTCATGATGATGATGATGGAAACTTCCACCTGGAGCTATGAACAGAACCAGATCAAAGGTCCAAACAAGTTCTTTAAATCTGTTGTTTTGTCCCTGCTGACAGGACAGAAACTTGACTCTGTACCATGTGGTGGTCCCGGAGGTCCTGCTGAAGACCGACCTTCAGTCTGGAGGCTACAAACGGACTCTTCTGGGCTTCCCCTTTCAGCTGGGGATCTACCCTCGAGACGGGAAGGTCTGAAACACCTTTCACCTCAAACACACATTTACGCCCCGGAAACTTTTATTTGTCTAAAATTATCTAAGATCCAGAAACTTTTAACTTTTTAAAATGTATTCACAGCCTCGTTCCGTTAGTCGGACTGGGCATTCATGTTTCCACGCTTGTGTTTTTTACAATCCAACTACATCTGAAGACTTTGTCCTACTTTAGTCGTTCAGATATCAAAAGGTTCGGCTTGTTCAACAGATGGGTGCAGTGACTGTTAATGTCAGGTCTCTTGTAAATGAGTCCTCGAGGCTCAATGGGATTTATCTGTCTAAATAAAGGTTGAATGAATACTTAAACATTTAATACAAAATATTTAAGTTTATAACAAATTTTCATCAGAAATACACTCCAGTTGTTTTAAAAACTTTGTTCTGAAATCTGCTTCAGCTACTGTCTTTGACCTTTTATGCTACTGTTAGCTTTTAGCTACTGTTCTGCTACTGTTAGCCTTTGGCTATTGTTATGCTACTGTTAGCTTTTAGCTACTGTTCTGATACTGTAGCTATTGCCTATTCTTATGATACTGTTAGCTTTTAGCTAGTGTTGTCCTGTATGTAGATTTTTCTGCTTAGATTCCGAGTTTTGGGTTTTCTTGTTTGAATCCTTTTTCGATTTAAAAGTCTGAGCTTAACAAACCAAAACCTTTGAAACTGAGTTAAAAGCAGCCGAAGTTTAAAGAAAACTTTAGACCACTTCAGATTACTGAATGTCTGGATTGTTGGAGGGTCAATATATGGAGACTAGATGAAGAGTTCTGGATCAGGGCTTTGGCTCAGTTCTGTACCGGACCGTCTAACAGCTGTTTCTGTTTCGTCTGACAGCTGTTTGTGAACGAGGCTCAGGTGAACTCCTCCAACATCCTGTGTGATAAAGGAGTGATCCACGGTCTGTCGGCTGTTCTGCACATCAACAGGAACCGCTGTGACATCGTCTCGTACCAGACGGTCCCGGTAAAGCCCTGGAACCCGCAGGAGCTGGTGAACATGTTCAGAACCAAGGATTCACCTTTTCTTGTCTACTTGCAGGGTTTGTGTGGAAGCTGTTTGTTCCGTCAAACTAAAGTCTGTCCCAACAACAGCGTCCCCGTGGTGAGACACAGAAACTAACACTTTACCTTTTTGTTCTAACAATAAGGTGGAACCGGTCTTTGAACGCAGTAAGGACTGAAGTAGGTTTGTGACTTCCTGAAGGAGGGTGGTCTTTGTATTCATGGGAAGGAGAGGATCTCCTCTGAGGGGAAGAACAGTGATTTAAAGAAACCCTAAAAATAAAGAACCTTTGTAGGAACTAAACCTACAGGTGGAACCCAAAAGTCCAGCTTTCCAGTCCCGATCCAGTCCTGAGGATGACAGGCACAACATTGCATGGGCAACTCAAGCGGTCCCCGTGGATGAGGATTTGATGATTGATTGACAGATAAATAAAACAATAAATAATGCAGAGGCTCTAACGAACACATCTGGTTTCCAGAGGTTCACAACAAATTTCAATAAGACGAAATAAGTGATGGTTCCCATTCCCATCTGTGCAGAAATCGGCGCGGCTGAAGAAGTGCATCTTTCGGCAGAACATGGACGGAGAACTTTTGCTGACAATCGGCTGCATAGCTACCTGCACCCAGAAGAACATGGTAGGTTCCTGCAGCTTCAGAGTGGAACTTCCTGTTGGTCTGAGGAAACTGGTTTCAGCAATGGCGGGTGGCTGAGTGGTTAGAGTAGTTGTCTTCCAATGCATGAGTTGGGGGTTCAATTCCAACAGCAGTCACATGCCTAAGTGTCTGTGGGCAAGACACTGAACCCCTCATTGCTTCTGTTGTGTGTACCATCGGTGTATGAAGGTGAAAGCACTGATTATTCTTTGTATAGATCTAGTATAGAGCTGTATGAATGGGTAAATGAGGCACAGATTGTTGTAAAGAGTTTTGAGTGTCTTGATCAGATAGAAAGGAGCTGTATAAGTACAGTCCATTTACCTACAGGGTTCCTTTATGTTTGCAGGAACTCCGGTGCTGCGAGGGCTTTTTCGGGGAGCACTGTGAGCCTTGTCCCGGTCCAAAGGGACAGCCCTGTTTTGGTAATGGGTTGTGTTTTGATGGGACCAATGGTTCTGGACTCTGCCGCTGTGATAAAGGTTTCAATGGGACAGCTTGTGAAACCTGCCAGAAAGGAAACTACGGCGTTCATTGTGATCAAGGTGGAAGAGGCACCATCAGTTGAAACACTGCCCACTTCCTGCTGTTGTCTCAACGTTTGTCTCGTTTGCAGAGTGTCGCTGTAAAAACGGACGATGCAGCGAAGGACAGGGTGGAGACGGGACCTGCGAGTGTGACGTCGGCTGGAGAGGCGTCCACTGTGATGAAAGTATGAACACAACCGGGTTCTATAAAGACAAGACTTCAAAGCTTTGGACAAACCCACTCAGGATCAGTGGGGGTTACTGGTAGCAGAACATCAAAATCTAAATCCCCCATAGATGTCAGTGCTGTTAAGTAGACTTCTACTGAACAGACCGATGGCAGTTAGTCTCCCTTCTTTAACGAGGGTCATTATTCTCTTTGTCTGTCTGGCTCACAGCGAGATGTTTGGATCATCTGCATAAAGGTACGAATGAGACTGGAACTGACTGGAATCAGGGACTTCCTCCTCTATTTAAACTAGTTTTTTTCTTTCTTCACCTCCTCTCAGACTATCTGTCCTCTCTGTCCAACAGCTGGACCTGTTGGTGGACCTCTGAGTTTCTCTGGAGTTGAACCATTTGTCTGTGGAGAGGTTCTTTAGTTTCTCCAACATGAAGGTCTGAACATTCATTCAACCTTTATTTAGACAGGTAAATCCCATTGAGCCTCGAGGACTCATTTACAAGAGAGACCTGATTCATTCCTGCAGACTTCACACCGCTCAGTCTGGGTTTGGAGGTTCTGTCCTCAGGATGGACCAGCCTCTGTCCGAGGGTCCTGTTGGGTTTGAAATGGACTAGATGTTGTGTTTGGAGTTTCTCAGATCCTCCAGCAACATCTGGGATGGTGTTTAGTCTTCTCTCTGTTCTGCAGCATGTTTGTTGGTTGATTTATTGATTGAAGGTCCAGTTAGGACATCCACAGGTTTGGACAGCTTCTTTAATGTGGTTCTGTTCCTTCTGTCTTTGTGGGGACATGTTCAGCCCGGTTGTGTAAAGTTCTGATGACTGAAATTTTGTGTTCCAGTAGGTGGTGAGAGTCCAACAGAAGGTTCTGACCCATGTGAACAGGTTTCCTGGAAACTTCAGTGTTGAGGCTTCATCTCTGTCCACCAGTCCACGAAGGCAGCTTGGTGTCTCTGGCGTCCTCTCTGGTGAACTTGATGTTGTCCACGGAGTTGATGTATCTGCTGAACCTTCTACTTCTTTAGCTTGGATTTTGACCCAAGTGTCGTTCAGAACCAGTGGCTCGGTGTTGTTTCCTTGAAGTAGTCCAGGGCTCTCTGTTCCTCCATGTAGAGATTGGACTCAATCAATGATCCTGGAGATCCCACGGTACAACCAGACTTCTGTCTATAGAAGCTGTCACTGAACTTGAAATAAGTTGTGGAAAGACAAAGGTCCATCAGATACAGGTCTGGTCCAGGGTGAACTTAGTCCTCTTGTTTGGAGGACTGAGAATCTCCACTAGCACTCTTACATGGTTGTACTGTCCATTGTCCATAGGAGATGGCAGGGTGTCCAGTTTTGTCCTCGTTGGTCTTCCTCTGAGATGACTTATATGTTGATGGATGAATCCTGGGAGTTAAAACATCTAAAATCTACAAAATGGCTAACCCATGACACAAGTCACAACTGAGTGGACAGTTGTCTAAAGTGCTGCTGTGTGCTGTCCCACTCTCTCTGCTTCAACAAGAAAAGGTGGGAGTCACCAAGACAAAGTGACTCAGCAGGTTCTGGGTCTTCTATAATACCCAGCATTATCTGTTTCCAACATGGCCACCCCCACAGATCCTTCATGTCATCTCTGATTGGACCTCTGATGTTCAGGAGGACTCAGTCAGTGGGTCGCAGGAAACAGGAAGAGGACTGAACTTGGACTTTCAAAGTAAATGTCACAGATCTTGTTGGTCTGTTGAGAAGAATGTGGATGAACATTGGAGTTTTGGAAGCCTTCAGTGATTCTGCAGAAGCATTTCATTTTTTTTTAATTGTGGTTAATGTGAGTAATGTGCGTGGTTGTGAGTCGTCGTGGTCTTCTGACACTCAGGTGTGTGTGTCGTTGCAGAGATTGAATCCAAACTTGATGAACTGTGTGGCTCCATCAAATGTCACAGCAGCGCAAAGTAAGTCATCAACACTCAGTCGTGGCAGCGTTGGCATCAATGTTTCTTTTAACTCTCTCCTCGACCCAACTCTTAGCTGTGTGCTTCAACCTTCTGGCCCTTGGTGTCTCTGTGCTGCTGGATTTGAAGGAAATGGGACCTTCTGCAAAGGTAAACACCGCTTCAAGTGAATCACCTGGATTCATTGGTCTGATGATGGTGATAATGGTGATGTTTGCAGCTGTAGACCCGTGTCTGGTGAATAACGGTGGCTGCAGTTTGGACGCGGTTTGTAAGCGGACTCGACCCGGTCTTAGAGACTGTGTCTGTAACAACGGCTTCACTGGAGATGGACTCGTTTGCATTGGTATGTTCTGATTTAACCAAACGAACACTGAGACACCCAGAGAACATATTTTTCTTTGTGCAACCTTTGAACAAATGCTGCACAACCCATTACAGTTTAGGTCAATTTGATTTATCCAGTGATTCTTAAGGAGATGTTTTTTTTAACAAAGTATTTTTATTGATTTTTTTGGTTTTTGAACAAACAACAAAAGAAAAACAAAACAGAACAAAGAACAGACTCCCCACCTCCCACCCCTTCCCTCCTACGCCGGATCAGTCAAATATACATAAACAAATTAAACAGGTATTGACATGTTTTCCACATACAACATAAAAGGCTGCCAAGTGTCCCAGAATCTTTTAACAGACCCCTTCAGGGTGTATCTTATTTTTTACAAATGAATGTGATGCATCACCTCCCTTACTCAATGTACATATGCCGGAGAGTGTGGTTCCTTCCAGTTGCACAGAGTTAGCCTCCTGGCCAGAAGAGAGCCAAATGTAAATCACATCCCCCTCGCATTTGCTGAAAGACATGTCACAGGGACCACCATGAACTGCGAGATGAATGGTGATGGGTGAACAGTTTTTCCACATATTCCAGAGAAGGTGTCAAAAATAGATTGCCAAAAAGTTCTTTAGTTTGGGACAGGTCCAGAATGTGTGCAGGAGTGTAGCTGGAGTTTGTTTGCAACGATTGAATGCAGAGTCCAGGTCTGCTTTGATCTTGGACAGCTTGTCTTTGGACCAGTACAGCCTATGCAGTACCTTGAATTGAATTGCAGCATGTCTCAGGCAAATTGAAGATGAGTAAATGTTCTTGATGATCTTTCTCCAGATTGAGTCTGACATGGGTTCCTCCAAGTCCGCTTCCCATTTCTGTTAAAAGGAAGTCCAAACTGGTCTCCTGGTATGAACTGAGCAGTGTATAGATCTTGCTGAGGGTCTCCTTGGTATCAGACCTGAATTCCAAAATCTTAACCACAAAATGTTTAGAGGGGAACAAAGGAAAACAGTCACAAAATGTCTCAGCTGTAAATATCTAAAAAACTGTGACTTGTGAACATTAAACTTCTGTACGAGCTGCTCAAAAGAAGCAAATCTACCATCCACACAGAGATCACACAGTGAATGCACTCCCCTCAAGATCCAGCTGTCAACAGCTGGATCAGCTGCTCAGGGAGTGAACATGTGATTATTTGACACGTGTTAAAAACAGAAACTGTAGAGTTAGATGCCCTCACGCCCAGATCACAATTGAGTTAGAAGTGTAGGTTGATATTTCTTGTTTAAAGGCAGCAGAGTCCTGCAGAAGGAGAGCTGGGTCTGATCGAAGCCTTTTCCAGAACCACCCAACTAGGACAAGGGGTGTCCTTCTCTAATCAGAACAGAAGAGATTAGATATTAGTTGCCCAGTAACGGTGCATGAAGTTAGGAAGCGACATGCCTCCAAGTCTGTGGGGCAGATGCAAGACCCTCTTGGCAATCCGTGGACGCCTTTTATTCCAAATAAACGCTGATATCTGTCTGTTCAGATTGGTGAAGAAGGATTTAGTGAGAAAGATTGGCAGATTCTGAAACAGGTGTAAGAATTTAGGTAGAATATTCATTTTTACAGAGTTTATTCTGCCCCAGAGTGTGAGGTGGGGATTAACATCTAACAATGTCCTGTTTAAGGTTCACCATGACAGGTGGATAATTAGTTTTATAGCTGTTCTTATGATCTTCACTTACTCAGATCCCAAGGTATTTACATTTTTTAAACTAATTTTAAATGGTACAGTGTCCAAAATTATTTTTTCTATAGAGGTTACAGGCATCAGTTCACTCTTTTGAAGGTTAGCCTTATAACCAGATAATGTCCCACATTTTTTAAGCAAAGAAAGTAATTCAGGGATGCTAGTAAGAGGGTCATGTTGTCCACATATAAAGAGACTTTGTGCTCTGTACCTAGTCAACTTATCCCCTTAATGGTGGGGTTCTGCCGCAAAGTTACCACCAGTGGTTCTATCACCAACACAAATAGAAGTGGTGAAAGCAGACACCCTGTCTCGTACCTCGCTGCAGTTCAGACCAGTCACTGTAGAGCTCTTTGGGACTGGGATGATGGTAGCGGTCTTCAGGCAGGTGGGAACTGTTGCCAGGGTAAGTGAGGAGTTAAAGATGTCGGACAGCACCTCACAGAGCTGATCGGCACAGTCCTTCAGCACCTTCCCGGGGATGTTGTCTGGGCCAGTTGCTTTGTGAGGATTAATCCTCTTGAAAGTACCCTTCACTTTGGCTGAGGTCACACTGAGAAGCTCTTCTTCTGGTGGTGAGGTGAGTCTGGTGCTGGGTGGTCTGTTTGGGTCTTCAAAGCATGCGTAGAACCTTTTGGACCATCTTGTTCTCCTTAAGGAGTTTAAGGAATCTGTAGAAAGTCCTGTAGAAGGTTGAGAACAGAAACCCCTGACTGTGAGCTGTTTGTGACTGTTCTGCTTGAACACACCTGAGCAGCTTCTGCAGACAACTGGCACATGCACGAGGACCAGTATTCTACAGGTTTTAAATACATTAAAGATCTTCAAATTGTAGAGGTCTTGGGAAAGTGCCAGGAGTTCTTTGGTAGATCTTTAAAAGGCCTCAGTAGATTGTTTAGAGCAGATTCACGATCATCTAGAAAAAAACAACCAGAACTAGAAGAATTGTGGTCCATTGATCCAAAATCAACAACAAAAACAAGAAATGTTTGTGTTGAACAGGGATGTGTGTGCAGATAGTTGACATTTAGATGGAAGTCAATGTTTAACAGTAGCTTTAAATCAAGAAAACACTCCAGAGCTTCTTTTCTGATAACATACCTGAACCCGAATGTTCCTGGATGAACAATGACAGATGATTTGATTTTTACAGAGATAAATCCCTGTCTGGAGGGAAATAGACGTTGCCATGCCAACGCAGATTGTTTTCATGTTGGACCGAACAAAGTAAGGCGTGCCTCAGTGTAGCTGTTTGCTGATGATGGCAGAGTGTGCCTTGGTTTAATTCAGACGTCTTTACCTTTACAGAGCTCCTGTGTCTGCAGTGAAGGTTTCTCTGGAGATGGACAGAACTGCACCATGATCAACTTGTGCAAAACGGTGAGATCCTGCAGAACCTAAAGGACACTCTCTGGGGCCACTTCCTCTGTTCAGTTGAGAATCAGCATCAAACTAAACAGACACTGTCATGCTGAAGTAGAGGGCTAATATTAGCTAATGTAGCATTCTCTCACCAATATGTTGTTTTTGAGAAGGAGTTGTATAAACCTGATAAACATTTGAAAGAACTGACCCATGTTTGGCTAGCCCAAGGGTCCCCAACCATTTTGAGACTGAGCTACTCCAGTGGGACCGAGTGACACGAAGGTTTGATACCAACATCAGTTCACACAGCTCACTTTTAATTATAGTCTTAATTATAATAAATGTATATTATGTGAGTATATAGTATGACTGATAACATTTTAATGTTCAGGACTCCTCACAATAATAGTCAATATTGATTGACCATGGCAGATATGATCAATAATTATTAATTATTAGTGATTAGAACTTGTGGGTGACTTAAGTGATGCCCGTGGGCGACTCAAGCGGTCCCTGTGGGCGACTCAAGTGGTCCCCATGGGCACCATGTTGGTGACCCCTAAGCTAGCCACTAGCCCAGACTGGCCAAAGACTCTAGTCTGATTCTCCACTTGTCATGCTGTAAGTGATGTCATGACTGATGAGTCCCTAACTGCTGATAAGTGTTAGACACATATCCTGTCAACGTTGACTGGACTATCTCTAGAAGACTGGTTGGGTAAACTCAATTCAACCTCAAATATGCTTCCAAGACCTGGTCACGTCTTCTACAACCAGTTATATTTTACTGTATTTTATCCTCCCGACTTAACCATCCTTCGAAATCCCTTTGTTATTGGCCATCTAAGACTTGTCACCTGAGTCCTAAGGACCCTAAAAGATATAGTGTCAGGGGCTGGTAGTGTCTTCCATGGTACATTGATTCTAGGTGATGGAACAGGCAAAGCATGATTCTATGACCCCCACCCCACCCACAGTGACTAAAAGGTATATTTTCTGGACTAAGTCTACTGAAACTCTAGAACTACACCAGTGGGACAGGCTGTACCCGTGGGTCTGGCCAGGCACAGCCTGAAAAAGGGACTACCCTGCTGTGGATCCCTGTCCATAAGACAGGGTGGTTCTGCCTCCAGATGTTGCCACAGCAGGAGGCAACAACTAGCGGCAGAGGCCTCGACCGTCCTATTTCTGGTTGTGCTAACTGAGTTTCGGGATAAGAAACAGAATTGTTCTTATTTGTCAGTAAACCATAATAAAAGTATGCTTTGATAGCTGTGGACGCATGTGGTTTACAGAACAGTCCAATAGTTTCCCATGTAGAAAACGTGTCCAAATTATTTTGACACGTTTTTATATTTTCTTCTTTTCAACAGACGAGTTCAGACGTCTGTCGAGCTCTGTTTGAAATGTTTTCAGTTCAGTTTGACCTGGAGGCTCACTCACATGGCTAACCTGCTGCTGTTGTTTCCAGAAAAATGGCGGCTGCGACAAATTTGCTGTATGCAACATGACGGGTCCGGGCATTCGATCCTGCGCATGTGCTGAAAATTACATCGGCGATGGTCTTAAGTGCAAAGGCACAGTGGATAAGGTAATGAGCTGCACGGTGAGCACGCAGAGCTTGGTTTCTGTAAGTTTTGAACTGAACTAGCTGCTAACTTTTGGCAGGAGATGAGGATGAAGGGGAAGAGCAGCTTTTACCTCAGTCTCATGGTAAGTGTTCACTTGTCTCCCTCTGTGGCACCTGAAGGCACAATCACATCACTTAAAGTAAACTCTCATTTCAGATAATGGACATTTCTCTGCAAGGCCGTGGTCCGTTCACCGTCTTTGCTCCGACTGCCCAGGCCCTTAAATCTGTCTATTCATCCATGGTCAGTGGCTCAGTGGATCGGTGACAGCACCACATTATTTCTAACTCTGTTTATTCTCATTCTGGCCAAGATGTTCCCCCTTTGCTTCTTTTTTTTTGGTTCTGGTCGTTTTCTTTGTTTGTGTTGTTCTAACTGTTCAAATGTCAAAATGTTCAGCTCATTCAGAAGATGGCTGCTGTCACTCAAAATATTGAACTTTATTTTAAAAAGTTTCCTCTTAGAATCCCTCACAAAAAACAACAACAACTGGACACCTGTTCTGTAGCTGAAGAAGTTTGTTTTCCCCATCTCAGCTCAAAACTGAAGAATGTTAAGTTTGCTACTTTTAGCTTTTAGCTGCTATTTTGTTAGTTTTAGCATTTAGCTCACCTTTAGCTGAGCAACGACACTGTGTGTTTTCTAGTTTGGTTGATTTTCTTCTTTAACAGCTAATCGACGTTAGCCGAGCGGTTCTTTCTGATGAACGACAAACATTCAGCCACACTGTTCATTTTCATTTTGCTTTCTCTTCAGATGATATCGTTAGCCAAACGTAGCGAAATTTATGCTAATTTCCTGCGTGGTTACATTGTCATGTGCCACACGCTGCTGCCTGCCGACCTGAGCCGACCTCGAAACCTGACGTCGTTGTCCGGAGTCGTCCTGACGACCAGCTCCACCCAGGTGACGCACACCTGTCTGGTGCCATCACAGTTAGCATGCTAAGCTAATCTCTCATGAGGTTTTCCACTGTTTCTGTTAAAGCGTTCCTGTGACAGACGCAAGGCTGAAGCTCGTTTCTGTTCAGCTCTGACGTCGTGTGTCTGTTTCAGGGAACGATCAGCGTCAATGGGGTGAACGTGGTAAACAGTGACGACGTCAGCGTTAATGGCATCATCCATGAAATCGGCGCCATTTTGTTTCCGCCCAACTTTGACAAGCTTCTGCTCGTCCCCGTCAGTCCAGTCTTTTCTGTTGAAATAATCATCGGTTTTATGTCCCGAGGATTTCATTAGCTGTTCTATGAACTCCTGGTGTTGGTGTTTGTCTGCAGGACCCAACAGAACTGAACCTGACAGACGTGGCTCAGCTTCACGGATATAAAACCTTCTACAAGCTTCTGCAGGTAAACCTGGCACCTACAGTTATCAGTCATGCCTTTGCACTAAAACTCTGCTTTTTTAACAGAGCAGAGAAACACATGACTTTATGTTGGATAAAATCAATATCCTTTCATCATCTACTTACTGAAAATAAGCCACACTGAGGACACGAGAAGATTTGATCCAGTTTACTTGCAAGGGTCAGAGTTCACACACAGGTGTTACACTGAAGCTCCGGTCTCGAGGTCTGCCACGGACAGTATGAAGAAGTGATTTTATAATGTTTATCAGACAGACATTGATGACCTCGGTCTGCAGCCTCAGAGAGGGCCTTGGAGTTATCAGGTGAGCAGGCTCCGTGCACCTGCAGGCTCCTCTCTGACCGGACCTCTGAGCAGTCTAAACAACTCTCTAACACACACATTGATTTAACATTAGTTGGTGATAAACATCCATAACCTTTGACAGTTCAATCTAACGAAGGACCATTACTGTGATTAATCTTGAGCTTCACCTGTAGGATGTAGAACCTCAGGAACTCTGTCAGTACTTCCTGCGGTTCTGCCATGTTCCAGGACACAGGCGTGATGGACCTGATGAATGAGACGGTTTATAAACCCTTCACCATCTTCCTGCCTTCTGATGTCATCATGGCGTCTCTGCCACAAGAACAGAAGGACTTCCTGTTCCACCAAGACAACAAACGGCAGCTGCTGGAGTACCTGAAGTACCACATACTGATCAGCCAAAAGGTGAGGGTGGTACCAGGTGCAGCAGAAACTTCTGAAACATGGTCCTGAGAACATTAGACAAAACACAGAGAAAAGAATGATCAGAATTAAAGAAAATAAGAATTCTATTAAAAATATGAAGTATATAAAGAGTAAGCATGGATCTACCAGAACAATATCAACCCGTCCATATGAAGTGTCAGACTGTAAAACAAGACAGAAGCAGGTTTATTTTAACTGGATAAAGAGTGAGATGATCTTCCACTAAGCAGGATTTGGATCTAAACTGGTACTTCAGGAAACTAGACAGGAACTGTGTGGGATTAAAGAGGTGTGGGTCGGCCACCAGGGGGCAGTCTTTATGGAAACTACATTTTTTAGCTACAGTTTTATAGAAGTTAGTTTTGTTTAAATATTGAGATATTTCTCCTCTCAGGTTTACGCTGAAAGACTGATCTACCTGGAATCAGGTCAGACTCTGCAGGGTTCATCGCTCTCCTTCTCCTGTGGCGGGTTGGATAACATCGTAAGTCCAGCAAGAACAAAGGGAGCAGAGATGAGAGCCTCCTCTGAGTGTGTGCTTCTTCCTTCAGGGAGAAATCTTCATCAACGATGGATCATGTCGGATCACTCAGAGACATATGGTCTTTGAAGCAGGGATCGCGTATGGGATCGACTGCCTGTTGACTCCGCCCAGCCTTGGAGGTCGCTGTGATGAAAACACCATCCTGGATCTTCAAGTAGGTCTTGAGTTTGTTTCCATTATCTCCTCCTGAAACACCTGATGGTGAAGGACAAAGAGACAGTAGGCGATACGGATACTGACACTGCCATTCAGACCTGATCCAGAACTCTTGATGACGTAAAGTTCAAAACTGATGATCATAATAATAATAATAATACTTTATTTATAAAGCCTGATCCTAGGAGCTACTGTATGTTGTCTGGGACAATTTTAATTGCCCCATGTAGGGTCTCCCAAGGCAGACTGGTTCTGGGTGGCAGGCCAGACAAAGAGCAATTCCAAAGACTCTTATGGACATGAAACAGCAAGGAACTCCATGTCTCTTGTCTGGACTTGGGTTACCGGGGCCCCACCCTTGAGCCAGGCCTGTGGAGGGGCTCGTCGGCGAGTGCCTTATTATATTCATCCAATAGGATGAAAGTTTTGTTTGTTAAAGATCTGGCGTTCACCAGGCCAATCCTGGCAGAAACCACGGGCTGCTGTCTGACGGGGGGGCAGCATCTTCAGCTTCTGTAGGTTCACTCGGCGCTGGTGGAGCCGAGAGAAGCAGGAGGGGTGGAGGTGGATGCCCACAGCCAGGACGGTGCCAGGTACCAGACAGCTGTCAATAGGATCCAGGAAACGGCAAGGCACAGCAAAAGAAGGAAGTAATTCATTTCTTGTCTGAGACATGGAAGTAGAACCGGCCAATAAGATCTTTAGTTTCACCAGCCGTCCTCCACGTTAACCGTGGTAACGACAACGCTTCTGCCGGGGGCGGCAACGCAGGTGCCAGAAGACATGAGCAGGAACTTCTGACAGGAGCAGGGGTAAAGTTTTCTGTCCACCATACTCAGAGGCACTGAGATTACCAACGCAGGTCAAATATCCAGGAGAGATCGGTGACTGTACACAAGCACAGACTTGGTGCTGAGCACAAAACATAAAAACCAAACCAAGAAGGACGGCCACACACTCTGGTGCCATATTGCCATGTGGTGATGATGACACAGAGTCCAAAAGTCTTGATGACACTGGATCATGAGCTCCAGTGCAGCTGTAGATGTGTGGACATTAGAGTTTTTTTAGTTTTAAAGTCACATTTCTGATATTTTCAGTGATACTTTCAGTGTTTAGGTGAAACAAACACATCAGCCCTTCATGGTATTTCAGAAAAATGTCTCATGGAACTGCTAAGATGATCAGAAATGTGTAATTAGTGGGTTTCATTAAGTTCTCCTTCAGTTCAGAGTCTGTGATGAGCTCTGAATGGTCTGTTTTAACGTTTCTTCTCTCTCCTTCTTCTGCGTTAGATGGGCTGTGCCCCCTGTAGGTCATCTCTCACTCGCTGTCCCAGTGGAACCATCCAGAAGGTCCATTTCCCTGACCGTGAACATGTTGGGCTGAGAGCTGCAGGTGGCGCTGCTCTCACCCTTTGTTGTTTTGTGTTCAGGAAATTCAAAAGTGTGATCTTCCCACCATGTTCATCAATAAAAACTCTGGCTGTCGACCCGTCTGCACCATCAAAATCTGGAAATCAAAGTGTTGCCATGGTTACTACGGACGGGACTGCCTGGGTGAGCGGTCCACCTTTCACTTTTAGTAACTGTTGTAAAAGAAAGTTGAGTGTCGTTTAACAAAGCTGGTAACAGAGAACACACCAGAAATGGATGAAATGAAGTCTGGAGTTCTGCTTCCATCACTAATCCTAATAAAGCTTCACAGTGATGTCATCAGTGATGTCATCAGTGATGTCATCACCTCTGTGCAGTCTGCCCAGGAGGAGTTCACTCTGTCTGCAGTAACAGAGGTAAATGTGACGAAGGTCACCTGGGGAATGGTACCTGCACATGCGAGGCCGGGTTTCAGGGGACAGCCTGCGAGCTCTGCAGTGACGGCTTCTATGGACCCACCTGTAAAGGTAAGGACTTCCTGTGAGACATCTGAATCTGCAGGTGTCACAGTTCTTGGTCTTTCAGCCTGCAGCTGTTCGGAGCATGGGTCCTGTGATGACGGACGAAGAGGAACCGGACTGTGTTTCTGTGAGGAAGGATGGACCGGAGAGCGATGTGACGTTCAGCAAAGTGAGTTCAGTCGTCTGGGGTCACCTTTAACAAGGTTTTTCAAAATAAGAAACTCGTCTGGGGTCGCCTT